TCTAAGCAAATTAAGTCTAGCAAATTTTTATATCCTAGTTTAGCTACTAAGTGCTTAAACATTGACATATATTTCTTGTGTGGTCAAGAATAGTGGTAAGATGTTAGAATATTTTAAATTTAAAAAATCCCACTCACGACACCTTTCTCAATGAACCCTTAAGTTAATCAAACTAGTTCAAAATTTGAGTTATAGCAGTTCGACTCCCACTGCAAAAAAAAAGACATAATTTTTTTCGACGACTTAAAAGCGTCGAGAAAAACCTTTAAAAAGTCGGGAGTTACTTTTCCTGACTAAAAATTTCCATCGAAGAAAAAGTCGGCCAAATTTATTGGAAAAGGACACTCGCGACCGTTTTTGTTTAAAAACAATCAGGAGATTTCCCAACTTTTTTAAAACCTTCAAGAAAAGGTCATATATTGAAGAGTATAATTCAAAATTAATTTATGCTTAGCTTTTTGTATATACCAAATGTACATAGCGGGTTAATTTTACCTAAAAGTTTGGTAGTTTTTCTTTAAAAAGAAGAAAGAATAAGAAGAGAGTTCCATTCTTTTATGTTCATACTCCATGTGAATTCATTGGCATAGTACAAAGACTTTAGAAAAAAGGCACCCCTCCATCCCAAAGGCCCCTACCAAGTTTCTAAGGCTTTAAAGTGAGAGAGAGTGGCCTTAACTACATTCATACATGGGACAACCCTTCTTTAATTCAAAAGCATTCTTTACACTAATGTGAAAGCATTAAAAACAAACAATTATCCTTGCACTCAACTAATTGACTTAAAAAGGGTAGGTATATATCTAATTTAGAATCATATCTTTTCTTAAAAAAAAAAAAAAGAAAAGGAATATTTAGTTTGATTAAATTGTAAATGAGAGAAAGACATAAGTTTGATTCTTCCCTTTTTACCCATGTTACCTTTAATTAATATCTTAAAAGTTTTATGCTTATGTTTAAACAATCTAAGAAAGCTAAAGCTTATACTTTACTATCATTTCGTTAATAGTATTTGTGAATGCAAGCAAAGTTTATAAATGTAATTTAAACTTTTTAAAGTCATAGAAAATTAAACAAACTTGACAATTTAAACCTAACTTATAAATAAGGTACAAAGTAGGTTACTCAACTAACTTGATATGGCTCAACTGTTAAGATATATATCACCAACCAAAAAATCGTGGATTAGAATTCTCTCATCCACATGGTGTTTTTACTACAAAAAAAGTTGACTAAGTTCATAATTTAACAAAAAATTTCTTAATAAAATGTGGAAATATTATTTGGTAAAATACTATTTTGGTCATTCTACTTTTGGCTTGTTTATTTTTGTTTATATATTTTCACAAAATTTATTTTAGAATTTGTACTTTCAATTTTTATTTATTTCAAGTTCTTATACTTTTAAAACGTTTATTTTAATTCTATATTTTTGGTTTTGGTTCATTTTAAAATGTTTATTATCAATCTCTTTGTTTCATGTTTTAATCTTAGGCGAGATCTTTCTTTTTCCTTGTAATATACCTAATTTTTACAAAAAAAAAAATATTGATATATATATATATATTAAAAAAAGGATGGATATGTTGACTAAGTTTATAGTTCAATCAATTTTTTTCCTTTTTTTGTTTGTAATAATGGTGTTGATATTTAGAAATATTATTGTTTTATGAAAAGAAGAAACATAAAGAACAAGAATTATAGGTAAAATTGTAATCAAAAGTGGAGTATCGTACCGAAAATGGCCGGTAATCCCGGCAACCTGCCTCATTATCTCAGTCGACGTGTCCTCTCTCTTTCTTTTTTTCTTTTTTTTAATTACTTTTCCCAAATATAATAAAGTAAAATTAAATTAAATTAGAGAATTTTGCACTTCGAGCGTTGATTGCGGTACAAAGCAATTTGAATTCATATACCATATAGCCGCGTCTTATAATTAGACACCATTCTGCAACACAATTACATGATTACCCTTCAATAATTATACCGTACAAATTTAAGTAAATTTTAAAATAAAATGTTTTCAGCATTTTTTTCTTATCTGGTGTCGGTGGTGGGATATTAGGAATTTAGGAGTCAGGACTCGTGCGGCAGGTGAAAAAAAATATATTTAAAGAAAAATAGGCGGATTTATCGGGTTGTCGGGTCAAATTTAGACCTCATGGGTTGCGGGTCGATCTCCTTTTGAAATGCGAGCATGCAGTTTCCACGAAACCCGCCAATTAGAATCCACTCCACATTTCATGCCCTAATTTTTGGGGGCTTCAGTTTGGGCAATTGAATTGTTGGTTTTTTAATTGTATTTCAAATTTTTTAAAAAATTAAATTAAATTAAAAAAGTAAGTAAATTGACCAATTGTTTTTTCCCCATTTTCATGCAATGACGTTGTTGTTTGTGTTTTGTTAGGTTTGACTTATGTACAATACAAAAGTTTAATAGAGAGTTTGAAAATCAAACAAGGGAGGTGTTAGAATATATTAGTGTGATATCTTTCTTTTCACTCTAATTTAACTAAATTAAAATATTGAGATTGTAGAGACTTTATATTGAGAATGGTAATATATATATATTAATATATATAGTGTAGTAGTTCTGATATTCTCTATTTATGAGAGGTGTGATTATCATACAACTAATTACATGATACATGTTAGTATTGTGCTACGTTGAATTAAATTTTAGTTAATAGGGTGATTTGATTTAGTGGCAATGTTTGGATTGTTATGTCCTAATTGATTGATGGGTTATTTCATAACCATAAGGGTTGGAGTATCTTTTGAACGGTATAAGTTACGACTTCGCTTCCGAAAAGAGAGATTTGACTCTGATTCACCAGCGATAATTAATGTCAAACTTGCATGGAGAGTTTTGTGCCCTATTAAATTTGTAGAGCTTAAATTTTTATACTCAATGTTGAAAGAGTGATTAAACTTTCCGATCCAAGTTATAGTTAACAAACCTAATAAGCTATGGATGATGAGATAATTTTAGTAAATAATCTTCCTTGAAATTATATATTTGTTGATGTATAGATATTTTCAAATAATTTGATATTTCCATCGTACCATAAATCTATCTACCGAATGTAAAAACGGTTAAAAAGGGTAACAAACAATAAAAAAAAAACATGTCTATTAACATAGTACATTTTCCTTTTTCTTTTTAAACAAACAAATCAATGGAAAATTTTCTCGTGATTACATAATTAATAATAATAATAATAATAAAGAGCATTTTTATTTGATTCCAAACTATAGGAACAAGGAAAAGACAAAACCAAATTCTTTTGTTTCATTTAATAATTTTCCAACACAAATTTCAATTTTTTTTAAAAGAAAAAAGGAATCAATATTTTCCATGTCTGTTGATGTATCCATGTCAAAATCACATGATATGTCACAGAATCTTCGTCGATCTATCTTACTGTTATACAAATCTTCATATTGATATTATTACCGACTGTTTCATTGGTACGTGACTGTCAGGCTAATGGCTCACCGCAGTGTCGCTCCATTCCTGGGGCTGGCTGGCTTAAATTAATTTCCCTCTTTTACGCATTTTATTAGTTTTTTTTTTAATGGAAAACGTGGAAATCAAACAAGAAACACAAGTTTTCATTAATCTTTTATATTGTTTTATTCATTATATCAATCGATTTTATTCTTGACTCTATAATTGGGATGTAGAATCATGCAAAAATTGTATAATCAATCCTCTTGTTTAATTTAAAATAAAATAAAAAATTTAGATGCTCCATCTTTTCAGAGAATAATTAAGATTTTTCGTATGAAAATCAAAATAAAAGAAGTATCATGAGATTGAAACTAATCGTGCAACTTATTTATTAATAATATAAAAAATTAAGATACATATATTGATTGGTCAATTAAACATATATTTGGCAAGTAAAACTAAGTTAATTCCTATAATTATAAAAGTTTCTATTTGGTCATATAGATCGCTAAATTTCACAAATCCTCCATAAATTATGTGTTTGGCTACTTGAGAAAGCCATTTTTTTTACACAATCGTGGACCTTAATACACTCAACTAATTACCAAAATAAAGCATTGATATATGAATGTTGGGATGAAAAATCACAGCATGCCACGTGGACAAAGAGTAGAGGTCGGCTGTCAACCTTAGGGTTCCAACTTACGGAGCTTACCACCTATAACTTAAAACCTCAAGCAAAATTTTTAGCTCGCCTCGCACGAACTAAGGACCCAACTGCTTGCACAAACATTTGGGAGTGATTCAAGCAGAATAAATCATAAGGACCCAACTGCTTGCACAAACATTTGGGAGTGATTCAAGCAGAATAAATGGTTGATTGGAGTGTCTCGTGGTACTTGCCATAATTCTCACTGAGGAAAGATTTCATCTAATCCCTATAAATATTCAATTACTTCATTCAATCAGGTACGAAACTCCGTCTGAAATGACCTAGAAATTTAGACATTGGACTAACTTAAATGTCAGAGTATTATTTATTTGTTTGCAGGTCTTTCATGTTAGCTCACTCAATCAGCTAATTTGTATCTCGCTGGATAGAATTTGATAGAAACAATAAAAAAGAATTAACAATATGATAACGAAATGAACAATATTTTAAATTTGACTAAACTATAGAGATTATATTGAAACTAAATACAAACCATAAAAAAGCTAAATTATAAATTAAAAATGGTGTCTCTCAACAATTAAAATTACATCTAATAAATTTCTAAACATAAAAAACCTCTAATAAATTCCAATCCAACACAAAATTGAAAATTTAAACTTCTTTTAATATTTTCACAGCTACACCGACCTTCCTGGCAAGAGACACCCACATGACGTTGTTCCTTTCTCAACTGTATGCCTTCATATGAAAATAAAAAGAAAAACAAAAAAGCAAAAAAATAAAAATAAAAATAAAGCGTCTGATTTTCAAATATTATTAAATTGGATCGCATTTATGACTCTCCCTCACTCTCCACTCCATTATATACTCCCCCAACTCCTCTTCTTCTCTTCCAAATCCCTCCATTTCAACTCAGAATTACCAGCAAAAGAAAAAAAAAAAAAACTTTTTCAAAGCCTGCTAATTCTCCCAACAATGGCGGCATTGCATTCCTCTGTTTTTTAACCACTCAAAAAGCAACCCCATTTCCCACATTTCCCAGATCCATCCCTGTCTCTGAATTCCCATGGCTGCTGCTCTGTTTCTGCTCTGTTTCGTCCCCTTCGCCGCCGCCGCCCACGACTACGGCTTGGCCCTCAGCAAGAGCCTTCTGTTCTTCGAGGCCCAGAGATCCGGGTTCTTGCCCCGCAACCAGCGGGTCACTTGGCGCGACCATTCTGGCCTCCACGACGGAAAAGCCAGTGGCGTGAGTCCCCTGTCTTTTCTTTTTGAGCTTGTGAATTCGAATTACTGTAATGCCATTTCTGATTTCGGTGGAAATTTTTCAGGTGGACTTGGTCGGAGGATACTACGACGCCGGCGACAATGTGAAATTTGGGCTGCCCATGGCCTTCACGGTGACCATGATGAGCTGGAGCATTTTGGAATACAGGACCCAATTGGCGGCCGGCGGCGAGCTTGGCCACGCCATGGATGCTGTCAAGTGGGGAACTGATTACTTTATTAAGGCTCACACCGAACCCAATGTTCTCTACGGCGAGGTTCCTTTTTTTCTCTAATTCTAAATGTTTGACTTCGAATTTCAATATAATATTGTTGTTCTTAATTTTGTGTTTTTGGATTTTTTTCCTTTTTTTTTTTAATTTAAGGTGGGAGATGGGAACAGTGACCACTACTGCTGGCAGAGGCCGGAGGACATGACCACCGATCGCCGGGCTTACCGGATTGACCCGAGCAACCCGGGTTCGGATCTCGCCGGAGAAACCGCCGCCGCAATGGCCGCCGCTTCTCTCGTCTTCCGCCACTCTAACCCGGCTTATGCCAACGAGCTTCTCAACCATGCTTACCAGGTTACCCTCTATTTTCTTTTCTTTTTAATTTATTTATTTTGGTTAAATTATTTTAGCTTTTTATTTTTGCCATTAGTTGAAAAGTCTTAGTTTATTAAATTTATTTTATTAATTTGATCACAGCGGAGTGATTAAAACATTTTACTCATTTCCTCGATGTTAGACAAGAAGTTCAATCCATCATCTTTATATTTATTGTATTAAAAAAACTCAAACTTAATTGATTGATTTAAGACATATATTTTCAACTAAAAAGTTAATGTTTAAATTCTCACAAACATTTCTTTTTAAAATTATGAAGATAACAAAATTATTGCGGTTCATTATTATTTTTCTATTTTATTTTAAATCTTGCATAAATACCATGTTAGATATATATAAATAAAATTATTCGAGAATGGGAAATAAAAGTTTCAAATCTACACCCCACGTTGAGGGTGAACTACGAGAGCCAAAACTATTTATTTTTAAACATAATTTAAATATTTTTAAAAATTCAACAAATTTATAAAAACTAAATCAGAATTTATAAAATTACTCGCACGTGAGAGAGCTAAAAGAAAATAAAACGTTAGCTGTCGGAGTGGGGAAAGTACGACGTAGTTTTGGTTATTTTTAAATCAAGTGGTTGAAAATATTCGGCGCATATTTAGGATCGCAGTTCCAAACCGTACACGTACCTTTAGATTTCGCGATCCCCAAATCAGAACCGTCCATTTTATACGATCAACAAAGTTTATTGTAGTCATGGGAGTACGGTGTCGGCGGTACTGTTCAAAATTTCCTCAATGCCCTCGGATTTGATTATTTTATTTACAAGACTACCCTTGTGTTAAAATAAAACATTAGCGCTAACAAATTCACATTTTTCAGCTGTTCGATTTTGCGGACAAATACAGAGGCAAATACGACAGCAGTATTACAGTGGCTCAGAAGTACTACCGATCTGTCAGTGGATACAATGTACGTGATTACTCCTCCCCTCTTCCTTTTATTGGGCTTCGGCCCACTTTTTTGATTGTCATTCTCTAAAAGCCCATTACATGATTTCAACAAACAAACTATTTTTTACATTTAGATACTGTTTTGTTCCTATTCATTGATTTAGTTTGGTATCTGTATCTTTTAAATATTTTTTTTAGCTTCTATATTTTTAAATTTAGTTAATTATTTATTTATTTTTTATACTTCAAAAACATCTATTTGGACCATTGTATTTTTTTAAAAGTGATTATTTTGGTCTATATTTATAGAATTTTAATACAAAGTTTATACATTGAAATTCACTAATAATATTTTATAGCTAAATTTAAAAAAAAAATTAGTTTGTGAAATGTCATTTTAAATTTATTTTTATTAAAATAAAAACAAAAATGAGAACCAAAACAATCGCTAGAATGAGTAAAATGATCGTTTTAAAAATATATAAATTAAAATTAATAAACATTGAAGGTAATCTAAAAGAGGTATTCTAAAAATATGAGAATTGAGATAATTACGGTAATAATTTACTTTTTGTAATATCTTCAATTATTTTTTAAATATTAATTATACGAGAGTGTATCTTCTATTATTATTATTTATTAAAATATTGAATAAAAAATATTTACCTACACGACATAGATTTATTGTGGCAAAAAAACAAGATTGATCAGCGATTTTGAATAGAAAAAGAGTTGAACAAGAACAAAATTGGTTGAACAGGACGAGTTGCTGTGGGCGGCGGCATGGCTGTACCAGGCGAGCAACAACCAATATTACCTGAAATACTTGGCCGACAACGGCGACGCCATGGGCGGCACCGGCTGGAGCATGACCGAGTTCAGTTGGGACGTCAAATACGCCGGTGTTCAAATCCTAGTCGCCAAAGTAACTCATAATTAACAATCCCCTTTCCCATTTTAATTTCTCCTCCAAATC